AATCATTCCTTTTTATATCATTATACCTCCCGAGTTCAGTCATTCCTTTTTATATCATTATACCTCCCGAGTTCAATCATTCCTTTTTATATCATGATATCTCCCGAGTTCAGTCATTCCTTTTTATATCATTATACCTCCCGTGTTCAATCATTCCTTTTTATATCATTATACCTCCCGAGTTCAGTCATTCCTTATTATATCATTATACCTCCCGTGTTCAATCATTCCTTTTTATATCATTATACCTCCCGAGTTCAGTCATTCCTTTTTATATCATGATATCTCCCGAGTTCAGTCATTCCTTTTTATATCATTATACCTCCCGAGTTCAGTCATTCCTTTTTATATCATTATACCTCCCGAGTTCAATCATTCCTTTTTATATCATGATACCTCCCGAGTTCAATCATTCCTTTTTATATCATTATACCTCCCGTGTTCAATCATTCCTTTTTATATCATTATACCTCCCGAGTTCAGTCATTCCTTTTTATATCATTATACCTCCCGTGTTCAATCATTCCTTTTTATATCATGATACCTCCCGAGTTCAGTCATTCCTTTTTATATCATTATACCTCCCGAGTTCAGTCATTCCTTTTTATATCATTATACCTCCCGAGTTCAGTCATTCCTTTTTATATCATGATATCTCCCGAGTTCAGTCATTCCTTTTTATATCATTATACCTCCCGAGTTCAGTCATTCCTTTTTATATCATGATACCTCCCGAGTTCAGTCATTCCTTTTTATATCATTTTACCTCCCGAGTTCAGTCATTCCTTTTTAAATCATGATATCTCCCGAGTTCAGTCATTCCTTTATATATCATTATATCTCCCGAGTTCAGTCATTCCTTTTTATATCATGATATCTCCCGAGTTCAGTCATTCCTTTTTATATCATTATACCTCCCGTGTTCAATCATTCCTTTTTATATCATTATACCTCCCGAGTCAGTCATTCCTTTTTATATCATTATACCTCCCGAGTTCAATCATTCCTTTTTATATCATTATACCTCCCGAGTTCAATCATTCCTTTTTATATCATTATACCTCCCGAGTCCAATCATTCCTTTTTATATCATTATACCTCCCGAGTCCAATCATTCCTTTTTATATCATTACAGCTCCCGAGTTCAGTCATTCCTTTTTATATCATTATACCTCCCGAGTTCAGTCATTCCTTTTTATATCATTATACCTCCCGAGTTCAGTCATTCCTTTTTATATCATTATACCTCCCGAGTTCAATCATTCCTTTTTATATCATTATACCTCCCGAGTTCAATCATTCCTTTTTATATCATTATACCTCCCGAGTCCAATCATTTCTTTATATATCATTATACCTCCCGAGTTCAGTCATTCCTTTTTATATCATGATACCTCCCGAGTTCAGTCATTCCTTTTTATATCATGATACCTCCCGAGTTCAATCATTCCTTTTTATATCATGATACCCCCCGAGTTCTTTTTATATCATTATACCTCCCGAGTTCAGTCATTCCTTTTTATATCATGATATCTCCCGAGTTCAGTCATTCCTTTTTATATCATTATACCTCCCGAGTTCAATCATTCCTTTTTATATCATTATACCTCCCGAGTTCAATCATTCCTTTTTATATCATTATACCTCCCGAGTTCAATCATTCCTTTTTATATCATTATACCTTATATTCCTTTTTATATCATGATACCTCCCGAATTCAATCATTCCTTTTTATATCATGATACCTCCCGAGTCAGTCATTCCTTTTTATATCATGATACCTCCCGAGTTCAGTCATTCCTTTTTATATCATTATACCTCCCGAGTCAGTCATTCCTTTTTATATCATTATACCTCCCGAGTACAATCATTCCTTTTTATATCATTATACCTCCCGAGTTCAGTCATTCCTTTTTATATCATTATACCTCCCGAGTTCAGTCATTCCTTTTTATATCATTATACCTCCCGAGTTCAGTCATTCCTTTTGATATCATATACCTCCCGAATTCAACCATTCCTTTTTATATCATGATACCTCCCGAGTTCAATCATTCCTTTTTATATCATTATACCTCCCGAGTTCAGTCATTCCTTTTTATATCATTATACCTCCCGAGTTCAGTCATTCCTTTTTATATCATTATACCTCCCGAGTTCAGTCATTCCTTTTTATATCATTATACCTCCCGAGTTCAATCATTCCTTTTTATATCATTATACCTCCCGAGTCAGTCATTCCTTTTTATATCATGATACCTCCCGAATTCAATCATTCCTTTTTATATCATGATACCTCCCGAGTTCAGTCATTCCTTTTTATATCATTATACCTCCCGAGTTCAATCATTCCTTTTTATATCATTATACCTCCCGAGTTCAATCATTCCTTTTTATATCATTATACCTCCCGAGTCCAATCATTCCTTTTTATATCATTATACCTCCCGAGTCCAATCATTCCTTTTTATATCATTACAGCTCCCGAGTTCAGTCATTCCTTTTTATATCATTATACCTCCCGAGTTCAGTCATTCCTTTTTATATCATTATACCTCCCGAGTTCAGTCATTCCTTTTTATATCATTATACCTCCCGAGTTCAATCATTCCTTTTTATATCATTATACCTCCCGAGTTCAATCATTCCTTTTTATATCATTATACCTCCCGAGTCCAATCATTTCTTTATATATCATTATACCTCCCGAGTTCAGTCATTCCTTTTTATATCATGATACCTCCCGAGTTCAGTCATTCCTTTTTATATCATGATACCTCCCGAGTTCAATCATTCCTTTTTATATCATGATACCTCCCGAGTTCAGTCATTCCTTTTTATATCATTATACCTCCCGAGTTCAGTCATTCCTTTTTATATCATGATATCTCCCGAGTTCAGTCATTCCTTTTTATATCATTATACCTCCCGAGTTCAATCATTCCTTTTTATATCATTATACCTCCCGAGTTCAATCATTCCTTTTTATATCATTATACCTCCCGAGTCAGTCATTCCTTTTTATATCATGATACCTCCCGAATTCAATCATTCCTTTTTATATCATGATACCTCCCGAGTCAGTCATTCCTTTTTATATCATGATACCTCCCGAGTTCAGTCATTCCTTTTTATATCATTATACCTCCCGAGTCAGTCATTCCTTTTTATATCATTATACCTCCCGAGTACAATCATTCCTTTTTATATCATTATACCTCCCGAGTTCAGTCATTCCTTTTTATATCATTATACCTCCCGAGTTCAGTCATTCCTTTTTATATCATTATACCTCCCGAGTTCAGTCATTCCTTTTGATATCATTATACCTCCCGAATTCAACCATTCCTTTTTATATCATGATACCTCCCGAGTTCAATCATTCCTTTTTATATCATTATACCTCCCGAGTTCAGTCATTCCTTTTTGATATCATTATACCTCCCGAGTTCAGTCATTCCTTTTTATATCATTATACCTCCCGAGTTCAGTCATTCCTTTTTATATCATTATACCTCCCGAGTTCAATCATTCCTTTTTATATCATTATACCTCCCGTGTTCAATCATTCCTTTTTATATCATGATACCTCCCGAGTTCAGTCATTCCTTTTTATATCATTATACCTCCCGAGTTCAGTTATTCCTTTATATATCATTATACCTCCCGAGTTCAGTCATTCCTTTTTATATCATTATACCTCCCGAGTTCAGTCATTCCTTTTGATATCATTATACCTTTCAACCATTCCTTTTTATATCATGATACCTCCCGAGTTCAATCATTCCTTTTTATATCATTATACCTCCCGAGTTCAGTCATTCCTTTTTGATATCATTATACCTCCCGAGTTCAGTCATTCCTTTTTATATCATTATACCTCCCGAGTTCAGTCATTCCTTTTTATATCATTATACCTCCCGAGTTCAATCATTCCTTTTTATATCATTATACCTCCCGTGTTCAATCATTCCTTTTTATATCATGATACCTCCCGAGTTCAGTCATTCCTTTTTATATCATTATACCTCCCGAGTTCAGTTATTCCTTTATATATCATTATACCTCCCGAGTCCAATCATTCCTTTTTATATCATTATACCTCCCGAGTTCAATCATTCCTTTATATATCATTACAGCTCCCGAGTTCAATATTCAATTTTTGAGATGACATTCTGGTCTTTGCCGTTTCCTTCAAATTTGAATTTTGTAAGATCATTTTGAAAATTCATCACCGACATACTTATACAGTAAACATTTGGAAGATGAATTGATTTTTTTAACTACATTCTTCATTAAAGATATCACCACAATCTAGTTTTAATAATGTTTATAATATTATCAGGTGTAAAAGTATCTTCATAATACCATATGTACCCCACACCCAATCTAAAAAGTTAATATCTCCCACCATATAACCATCCGCTTCCGTTTTCTAACCTATCTTGGTAACAGTCAAATACAATTGTTAGAATGTTTGAATTTCGTCCAATACTTAGAAATACGTATTTTTTTGATAATTTCCAGAGAAACTCAACCTAGTTCTTGGTAAACCATAACATTACACAAACTCAAGGTATTCGATAGATACACGACAGTGTGGGATACCTGTACATCATGGCTATTGTTAGGGCTACATGAATCGTGCATGGATGAAAAGAAATGCTGTTTTGTTTCGAAATTTATATATATATATATATATATTGAGAGTCTGATTTAATTCTTAAAATGGGGTTAAAGACTTACCTTTTTCACATTAGCAAAAGAATTAGATACTGAAATGACTCTCTCAAATTTAGCTAAAAAAACTTCTATTCAAATAGCGACTTTGTCAGAAATTCAAAATCGAAATTTTCATTTAACATATTCCCCTTCCCCCCTAAATATTGAGCCCCATATTTTTTCTAAGAGGCCATAGAATAGGCAAAACTGGCACACCTCCTTTCATATTTTCAGAAAAGATACAGCAACTTAAGGAAGGCGAAGATTCGAACTCAGAAATGTTGTGCGTCGGTGATTTATGTGATATCCTTACCAAGATTGAGGAGTTCTTACGACGGATCAAAGTTAATATCAGAGAAAATGTTGAGATTGCCAAAAGATATTTCCAAAGTAATGACGGGTCAATTGATGCTAAAAAACTCGAGGAAGTCTATTCCTTCTTGAAAAATCTATATGGATATCTACCTGATTTTACCTGTGGTGATCTTTCCCGACTGCTCCAAGGTGTTGCGGGAATCACTTCAACAATATCCTCTTTAACAGGTATTGGTGGGCCAGTCGTTCCGGTCATTTGTGGAGTGTTACGTAAAGTGTTCTCCGCTTTTGGAGGGAAAACAATTACCGTTGGGGAGATAGTTGAAGGCGAAATCCGACGAACATTTTCTGGACACACCCACGAAACACTCCACCAGGAAGCCGAAGATGTCCATCTCATATATCGGTTTGCATTTGACTTTCTAAATCAACCTAATGAGAAAGGTCACTTATCGGAGCATGATATAACGAATATGAATGTTCAGATGAATGTTTTTCAAGGTGCAACGTTTCTTCGCAAGCTTGGGAAGTTGATCAAAGTGCTAGCAAAGGAGCATGAAGAAGACGACCCTGGCAAAAAGACCGAGAAAGTCAAGAATGCGCTGGAATTCGTTGAATTATATGTAAAACTTGCATCTTTACGTGACATGGTTCTATTTCAGTTTTATACCATTACCAACTCCACAGCTCACAGTCAGCATTTGGCCGGAGGGATCCAGCGGGTGATCGGCTCCTTTGATGAACAGGACAGGGATGCTCTCGGTCTTTTTCTCAAACCCACAAAAGAGTATGCCTATATTGTGTCATATGTGAGGGAGGAAGAGAGAGAACTTCTCATGATGTTTCTTGACCAGAAAAAACTTTTACCGGACCAGAGCTGGTTGACGCATTGTGCGTTTGAACTGCATTCAGTAAAATGGCCTGAATATCATGCCGTTCGTTTGATAATTCATAGATCGCTCTTTGGAAACGGGGATTTGAGGTTCATACGTGGAAGCAACAAACCTATCGGACCAGAATCCTGGTTTTGCTTCAAGCGAATTAAGAGAAAAGGGACTTATCATAACATAACACCTATGTTAAATTCTCATGAGTTCGTGTGTATGACGAAAGGCTCTGATCATTGGGTGATGTCATAAAAAAAGATGCCCCGGAACCCGAGAGCGAGTGGAAGGTCATCCAAATGGACAACGGAAACTATGTGTTTTCCCCACGTGCCTTTCCGGATTATTTCATGGGAATGACACAACTGCTGGATGGAAGTGTGGCTGGATTCCTGGGATGCTCTCGCACAAGATGTCAGTGGACACTGAAGGCATCGCAGTGAACTTTGACCTTCTGTAAATGTCTTGAAAATGTATCTTGTTCATTGCTTGGTTACATCATGGAAATAGACCACAATGAAGGCATCGCAGTGAACTTTGACCTTCTGTAAATGTCTTGAAAAGGTATCTTGTTCATTGCTTGGTTACATCATGGAAATAGACCACAATGAAGGCATCGCAGTGAGCTTTGACCTTCCGTAAATGTCTTGTAGAGGTGTCTTGTCCATTGCTTTGTTACAACATGGAAATAGACAACACGGAAGGCATCGGACTGAACTTGAATATGACACTGAAAGGTGAAATGAATTATCATAGATATATATCTGCAGAATGTTTGGCAAAGAAGATGACAAAGAATTAGTTTTACTTTCACAACAAAGACATAAGTTCAGTAAGTTTTGATTTTTCATCAGTTTCTTTTATTGTCAACGTAAATATTTGCTATGAAAACGGACTATTTTAAATACATTAAATGTAAAAGTCCCAAACATGTGACAATCTAAAGACAGTTTCCCTTTTAAACTGTGATAAGATAAATCATTATATTATAATATAGATATTACATAAGTTTGCTATGTGATTTATGAAGTGAGACTATCCTCTTTATTCCGTGATCAATGAAAACGCTTATTCGCACGCCAAAATTTAAGTCATTTCGGCTCTGTATCTGTGCTTTCCATTTTTTCACATATTTTTCACGATGCAATATCTGTGTGACGTAATTATGAAAATTTAGCGTCACATTTTGTAACCATACACATGTATATCATAAACTTTCACCGAATAACACGACATTCATATGATACATGTTTTGGAATCTCCGTCAAAAGCTCATAGAACACATTTTAAAACAAATTTAGAATTAAGTTACATAGCATAACCAAATAATCAATTTCACTGCCACATGCACTGTTTGTCAAAGTTAACTCCTCTGTGAAGCTAGGGCATTAACTTGCCGGGAAAAATCCAATGTGCCGAAATCCATGCCAGCTTGAATGTATGTATGTATACAAAGCTTTATAGTAGTGGTTTTGGCGGAGGTATATCCCGTAGTTGTAGCTGTATCCTGAACGTATCGGACACAGAATTTTGAAACAATATCCCCATAAATATTTTCAAAAATTACATCTTAATGCCTTGTAATAAATTATATTTGAAAATTTGAATTATATATGTATATATATATATATGTCATCATGTTTGTTCATATAATTCATTACTTAAGTATGTATAACATGTCGCTCGTGAGACAAATCCTGGAAATAAAGGACCAGTCGAGGAGACAATGTGCATGTATAACCACACGTGGTCCGTGGTAAAACCTGATGATCGTCATAATGCGGCGAGAATGTTACTGTACATGCCAAAAAAACACTTTAAAGGAAAACATGGTTTATATATTTATATTCTATTCTGAATCCGTATCCAAGAATTCTTCCTGTCGTACTATTTTTTTCAGAATTTATTTCTAAATTCGTCATTCTCTCTAATGAGAAAACGTATAGATCCCCTTTTCCCTTGGCCTCGCGGCCTCCTGTTCCTGAGTGGCTGGTCCTGCACTGACGGACACGTGTACAGCGGATGGAGGCCGAGTAAATATGATGCTATCCCTGTGAGATGTACTTCCTGTCAAGGTTGGTGAGCCACTACTAGATCTAGCTATGACGGATTATATAGACTGAGCCCAAACTCACCTGATACCATCATCAGAAACGTCGTTAGGATTGGATAGACGCTGGATGTCAGACCTAACTATAGACGGAATGTCTCGCTTGTTGACATCACTTCTGAAATAAACAAGAAAGAACGAAATATTACTAATAAACCTGAATATTTCATTAATACACCTTCAATATATTGTGTTCGAATTGTCTTTTCGTCCGTCTGTCCTTACATAAATCTTGTCACTGCTATTGCATGTGGAGTGATGGAGAGGGAATAAATGACTCTCCTAAATTCTAGTTTATTTTCTGACTTCCTCATCTGTAATATTTACAGTATTTTGGAGAAGCCTGTTGATTGTTTTCTCTCATTCGTTGCTGCAATCGTTTCTTATTTTCATTTTTGTAGAAAAATCCAAGTTCTTCTGTTAGCAGGCTGTCATTCTCTCTGATAGTTTACAAAATACATAAGTTAATTGCCAGAGATCAAGTGTTGTGTGTGCGATGGACCGATACGCCGTTATTAGCCATGCGTTACGCACCGATGGCTTTCTACTCTGTGTATGTATTAACCGATTTCGTCAAAAGACGTGCTGATGTTTTGACAAAAATTCATTTCGAGGCAACCAATGACTTTTCCCTTGCTTTACAATTGAAGGGAGTGAAAAATCACTTCGACTTAACCGAAATTTCGACTCAATGAAATTCGAATCATCCGAACTAAAATTTAAAAAATATAGAAGGAAAACAATCGGGACTTGAAAATTATTTCGCCTCAAACGGAATTTTAACTTAAGTGATTTCGAGACAACGGGTTTCAACTGTATCCTGATATCAGCAGGGGTGAACCTCATAGTCACGGAAGATACGGAGGACTTCAGTTCTGTCAGTTTGTACATTGCGTCTTTTTCCTGTGAAAGAAAAAAAAATCATAAAATATTAATGTTAATTATTAGATTTATTTTATAGGAAACTTTATCGCTACGTTACTTTTCCAAATTTTATATAAGAAACCGAAGCTAGAATTATTCCATCTATTTCTTGTTTATCCCCTCTGTAATTTTAATAAGACAGCAAACAAACAAACAAGTAAACAGGTAAGCATGCATGCATCCATCCAGCCAACCATAAAAAATGTAGACACGCGCTAGTTTTATAATATAAATAAACACGTAACGGATATAACCACCCTGCACGTCGCAACGTCAGTACAAACAAAATAAATACACGTACGCTGTATAGATATGAAACTATCTATACATATACCGCGGTATTCTTCATTATGGTAAGCAACATATGAGAGTTAATCTTTGTGAAATGTATATATCTCCATGATGTGATTAAAACACTAAGGGTAAAGACAATGTTATACATTTATCTGGATCGTCCACGTTCATCTCATACTACAACGATATGGTATCTGGGGTACATTGTATGGAGGCACGTAAAGGAAATACATACACACATATATTTATGTAAACAGATTTTGGAAATTTTATGTAACTTTTTTGAGCTCATTTGATGAAATGAGGATTAGTTTAGCAAATAATGAACCATAATTTGATGTCTATATGTATACCTAACAGCAAATGAGAAAACATTGACGTTTGATAATTTGTCACGATTGATAAATTCTACTTTATTTATGTATTTGCCTTTCTCCATACTATAACAACATGATTAAAATCACTCATCTCCTTAAAGGAACATCTTGAATTATGAGTGGGATAGTATGTTTTTCTGCTTCACTGAATCAATCGCGTAACGTTTTACACGATATTTAAGAAATGAACGTATTAAATATATACATAGCCTGACAAAAATAATTAAATTCTAATTTAGGACGAACTACATTGCCATTATAGTAACATATTTTAGAAACAAATAGCACTAGAATGAACTCTGTGTGTTTTACAGAAACTCACTCGTTCAAACATTGCATAAATTACATTATGAAACCGTCTTTATCTTGAACATTAGGTCTATATTTCGAATCAGGATGAACTGTAAAAATGCAAATAATGAAAATGTTGAGGTGAAAAAACTAGAGATAAAACTTAAACAGCCAAAAACTCAGCAAAACTTTGGATTTAATTACTGACATGTTTTGATATAAGCAAAAAAAAAAAAAAAAATTAAAAATACATGAAAAATTTGATCTGGAAATTTTAATAAACCTTCAACCTCTCCCTTAAAAACTTCAGAAAAAATAAACTAAATTTGTCCGTTACAATTGGCGGGTTACGTATTAATTAGCCAGTATAGAACAGAAGTGTACCTAACAATCAGAGACCATATTTGCACGGTAGATTGTTTCTAAATTTATAAACGTACAGTTTATCTGTACGATTTCCGGATCACAGCTTGCTAGCAGGTAACATTGGATTTATCTTATTGTTTATATCTACTTGTGTAATATTTACATTTTAAATTTTATTGATGCGATAATATATTGATTTATGAATAATATTATTAATTATGCATATACGAAAAATGTAATTCTTAATTACAGAAAATGAGAAAATACCTGTCGCCAATCGATTGCATTTTACTTCCTGTTTTATTACCATCTGGGTCAAGAGATGGGGCATACTACTATTCTCTTCGTCTTTTACACTAACTAAACGGTATAGATAAATAGGACAGTCAAAAACATACTTAAATTTATCTATTTATTAATTCAATTCCTTTGAAATATCAATGACCAGTGCATTAATAGCTTTCTAGGTCATAGACCTAAAGTACAAAAACACTTGTGGGTGTCTGAATAACTGTGACCACTCAGGTATGTCGGCCCCACTGTACAGCTTATCTGGAACCTCACTGGTGACACTATTTATAACTGGTTACGGTAAACAAACATAGGTGGTATATTTTGTACATGCTAGTTGTTTTTTTCAGTCTGTATATTGGAAAATGGTCACAGTTAAGCTTTTCTTCAAATAAATCCTTTTTCAAATTAAATAAGAGAGCAGACTATTGTACTCAAATGTTGACGTTATAGTTCTCACAGTTAAGGCAGTGCATGTTTAACAGTTTGGAAAAGTAAACTGATCTAAAAAGTATATCAATACCTACGTTGATTTGTGGAATGAGAAAATCCACATAACAAAAACCCATATGGTCTGTATCGCTCGTCTGTTTTAGTTAGCCGAAATTGCTTCATCTAAACTTAATCAAAAGTATTTCAAAATTATATCTATTTTAATAAGAAGGATTTTACAGGACTTGCTTTATGTCAACTGTTTTGCCCCGATCATCCCCACCTGCAAAATAGGAGGCCAAAACCAACCTTTTTTTGATAAAATTGATTCTATATCACACAGGGATGCTTCAGACCATAGTGGAACAAAATCCAGGAAATCTTAATGCATTATTTATTAATGAATTATTTTCTCTATTAAGTGTATTGGATAAGTGTATAAGCCAAGACTCACCATATATGTGATTTTTTCTCCTTCTTCCATGGATGCTTTTGAATCACTTAGGCGTTCATGATTAGTAGCGATTTTTAAGAACAAACACTGACAAACGATTGACGACGAATGCCACAGTATGCTATAGGCTCATTATCTGTTTGATTAAATTAAATTGCTACCTCTATTTTTTATTCCAACGAATAATTGTTAAGCATTCAAAGAAAACGAAAAGACAGGCTTTTAAGTTGTCTGTCATTACTTTTTTTCAGAAGGCATTCAAAGTGCTAAGTAAACGTAGTGGTACTCCTTGACACCAACAATGTCCTCTGTTGATGACGTATCTGAAGTCCTCTCAAAGGTCGAGAAGCACTTACAACAATTTCATATTAACGTATCTGAAAAATGTAGGATTGTGGAAGAACATTTTAAAAATGACGATGGATCAGTTAATGCAGACAAATTAGAAAATGTGTTGCATCTTCTACAAGAGCTATATCAATATCTGCCAGATTTTACCAGTGCTGATCCCGTCCGTCTGCTTCAGGGTGTTGTTGGAATCGTGTCATTGATCTCATCTTTCACAGGTCTAGGCGGGACTGTTGTTCCATCTATCTGTCGGGTATTTAGCTTTGTATTTACTGCTTTTGGTGGAAAGAGTCTGACAATAGGCGAGGTCGTCGAAAGCGAAATCCGCCGATTATTTTCTGGACACAGCGATGAAACACTTCTGGTAGAAGCAGAAGATCTCCACTACTTGTACCGATTTGCTTTTGACTTTCTCAACCCAAAAGATGAACACAGTCACTTTTCGAAGCATGATATAACAAATATGAATATTCAGATAAATGTTTTTCAAGGTGCCACATTTCTTCGTAAATTGGGAAAACTAATCCAGGAACTCTCAAAGGAGCAAACTGAAGATATCGCAGACAAAAAAGCTGAGAGGGCCAAGAAAGCGATGGATTTCATTGAATTATACATAAAACTAGCATCACTACGTGACATGATACTTACTCAATTCTATACCATTACCAACTCCACAACTCACAGTAAGCATTTGGCGGGAGGAATTCAGCGAGTAATCGGCTCCTTTGATGAGCAGGATAGAGAAGTTCTTCGCTTCTTCCAGAAACCAAAAGAAGAGTACGTCTATATTGTGTCATACATCAGGGAAGAGGAGAGAGTACTTCTAATGATGTTTCTGCAACAAAAGAAGCTTCTGCCGGAACACAGCTGGTTGTTACATGGAGAATTCGAACTTATTTCAAAGAAATGGCCAGATTACCGTGCTTTACGCATGAGAAAGCATAGGTCACTCTTTGGAAACGGGGATTTGAGGTTCATACGTGGCATCAACAAGGCGGTGGGACCAGAATCCTTGTTTTGTTTCCAAAAAGTGGAGAGGAATGAGTTTTATGTTTACATTACACAGAGGGGAAATTCAGATGAATTTCTAACAATGACGAAAGGTTCAAATAAGTGGGTGATGTCTCTTACGGGGCCTCCTGGTCCTGAAAGTGAATGGAAAGTCATCCAAATGGATAACGAAAACTATGTGTTTTCCCCACGTGCCTTTCCGGATTATTTCATGGGAATGACACAACTGCTGGATGGAAGTATAGCTGGATTCCAGGGATGCTCTCATCCAAGATGTCAATGGATACTGAAGGCATCACAGTGAACTTTGATCTTCTGAGAGGGTGGGGCTTGATGGTTGGTAGGTAGGTTGGTTGGTAGTCAGTTCCTATCATAACTATGATGTCAACAATGGGTCAATATGGAACAAGACCAGCAATAGTACATGAATTAATAGAATCTTTCGTCCTTTGGGGATTAATTTTCGGAGAAGTGTCTGTGTCCCCCCTCTCTCTCTCTCCGCAATACAAGTGAAAGATTATTTCAGTTCAGGTGCTGGATGATGTTTTTATCTTATCTTTACATTGAACTCTACCATGATCCTGATCGTGTGTTAAGACAATAATCAAGTAATATGTTATATATGTTATATGAATATGTTATGAAGTAATGAAGTGATTAGTTGAGTCTTGAATTTGCTGTCGAGGACCTTATAGTATAAATTAAGTTCGAGACCAAAGAAACTACACAGCTCGCTGAGTATTTTTCAATTATACATTTTTATGGTTCCATTCACCTAAACATTTTCCCTGTTTATTGGTACTGATTTACAGTAGCCGGATTCATCGACAGCTGGACATACCATGTAACAATAAAACGTGAAGTACATACAAATTATAGGTGATAGTGAACATTAATGAATGTTACAGTGTTGTTGTCGTCTGGAACTGCCAAAAAACTATCAATGGTCAACAAGTCACATCGATAGTATTTAAGCAACATCCGATTAAATTATGGATACCACAACACAAAACATTGCTGTCATAATATCACAAACTCTGATAAGAAAGAGGAAATAGTTTGTGAACAAGAAAATGTGTTAAATATGCTGCAAACAGAAAAGAGGATGAGACCTAGTCGTAAGCAACATTTGCGTCGTCCTGTTACAGGTATATCTAAATATCAACATTAGAAGGTTTAGTTTGGACAAAGCTTTTTTTATGGAACTCACATGGTATTCATTGAATATACCCTCTTTGCGGCATTTTCAGATGACAACAAATGCGCAGATGGTATTGTGATGTAACAATTAAGACCATTGACATAGGAAAGAACGTGAGAGTAGGGTTGTAGAAATGTCAGATTTCTACCATATTTGGTGGAGAATATGTCATGTGATAAAAAGGGCCTTCAATGTTTTTCCATTTGACATTTATGTCAGTCATGTTTTATTTTAGTTGGCTCATGACGAAGTAGCTTTTCAAAAATGAAAATAATATCATTACAAGATGCACATATTGATTTTGTTTTCAAATGAGGCCAAATTTATCGAAGTGCTTCACCCTAACACACACACACACACACACACACACACACACACACCCTCTCACACACCCCCCCACACCCCCCACACACACACACACACGAACATGCACACCCACACGCAACCACACCCTAACACACACAAAGATTCATTTAGAAAACAAAGTATGCGTTCTTTGTTTTTTTAAATAGCCCGTATTACAGTATAAAATGACTCTTTCAGTATGTGTTCATATTTTCCATGCATTATGTATAATCTTTAAGCACATCTTTACTTTAATTCTTTGTGACTGACTGGCGACATCTCCTTAAATGAAATAACGACAAGTTCATCTTATCGTTTTACTGCGTTTCAATATCAATTAATAATGAAAAAAGGTTTAATAGAAAATGAAAAGGTAAATTGCAGTTATTTATGTTCCAATCACTCGCAAATTAAAAACTAACATTTCTAGTCCTTGTTAATTACTTTTTCTATAATGTGTATTACCTGTACTAGCGTAGACCGGAAATATCGGGTAAAATCTACTTTGCATATTTTAATAACTCATTTAAATATGTTGTACACTTTGGACAAAGTGATGTTTGAATGTTCCATTTTGAGACAAATACACTGCTACTGTCCTCCCTTAGATGTATTTCTCATATTGTTTTCCTGAAGTCGTGTATGTTGGTGTAGAGTCATTATCATACATGGTGCTGTTGCACTTAGAATCCAATGCAACGAATAAAAGCAACCTATTGAGAGATGTTCAAGTTAAAACAAAACCAACTACGTTGCAATATTTACGCAAAATACAAAAGGAAAAATAAAGCTGAAACAAGGTTTTGAACCTAATGGGTTCTTGTGTAGTGGATCTATTTTACATACTAGTCCGGGAGCTAGGTGACGTTTAATCAAGAACTTAGGTACCAAATGTTTAAGGTGTGGAATGGTTAGATTGACTGCCACAAAATAAAGAATAGCCAGTCTTAAGTTGCGGTGCACCTCCCGGATATTTTCAAAAAATGAATTTAATTAAGGATTCCTCTCCAAGCCTAATTTTCATATCATTTTATGGGTTATTTGAGGCTGTGATGAAATCCACAACTTAACACGCGGCATTCCTTGACGAACCTTCCTTAAGACGTACCCTAATTAAGCCCAATTAGCACTTATACGTTCAATTTACGTTACCTTTCCCATTATACACAATGATAACATCTAAACATAGTTAAAAGCAATTAATTGAACGGGTACGGAAACCGAATTTGATTATCACAATTTACAAAATGTAATACCCGATATTACTTTGCTCTCTGATTTCGTTAGGATTCTTAAAATAGTGTATTTAAAAATGAATGGTTTGAAATGTTTGTGCCACCCTTACAGAGGGTTGGGATTACTGTACATGTTAATATACACTGGCCCGGCGGGCTAGTCATGTACACCTCTACATGTCAACTCCAGAGGAGTTGGTTGTGAAAAGGACGATACTAGACCGAACAGATATATACGGTATATCTATACATAGTGTTTTGAGAGTGTGAATGTTTTAGATAAATTGTGGTGTTTATTATATTTAAATGTAGTGAAAATAGAAAAGTGTGTATTTTAAAGAGTATACTATTAAAAAACGTATTAAAACTGGTCGTAAAGACCGTTCAATTTCACTTTGAAATATATTGATGACGTCTTGTCATTAAACAAATCTTTCTTTTGTTCAGATTTTGCCCTAGTTTTTAGTCATTTGAGTTTGTATAATGGATTACTAATGTTTAATAAATCTTTTTTTTTCAAATTCCTTATTATAAATGGAACTGCATGATACATATATTACACTAGGAACGTGAAGTGTGGAAATCTCTTAATTTCTTTTACTATCAAGAACAGCTGTAAAATCACAAATTTTCGTTGAGATTTGTTTTTATTAATTGATACTCTTAGTCAACGAGTTTCGATGTCCAAGAACTGTTAAAATAAATATCAGTAGATTTATTGAGCTATATTTATCCAGATATATCACTTTTTTACAATGTGTGCCATGTTACTAAACGTAGATCCTCAAAAATACCATATTAACGTTGAAAGTTTCAGCAAATCGGACTCTGGACTGAATATTGTATATATGTTTATACTGTAACTGTCGTCTTCTTGTTCTAGTGTACTTTTCATAGATACACGATAATCGAACATTGTACAAAAACACACAAGTACACAACATCTTTATATGTTTTGATTTCGTACTTTTAGGACTCGTCAGAACGCTAAGAACCTGAGAACCTAGGAGGTGACTGAGGAAAACCAAAATAGGTCGAAAGAAAGGTCCACATACAGACAGAGAGTTGCCCTAACCCTATAATTCTTTAGATTTTGCCTTTTTTTAACATATCTGATAAAATTTATGTATTGTATTCTATTCGTGTTTTTTTAACAATTCAAATATTTCTCGTGGTAAAAACAATCTAAAACGTGTCAGATCTGAAATATCGTTTATCTCATCTTGAGCAATAGAAAAGAAGATATACAAAACCAACAAAGTTTATCTTATCTACTCATAATGTCGAGATACCTTTATCAGCTTATATCCACGATAGTGTTTCCCGATATCGCCAAAACAAACAATATGGTTAAGTTACATGTGTAAAATATCGTCAACTGCACTCCGATGCAGGTGCTCTGTACAAAATAATGAATATGAACAAATCGGCAAAAAATGTTTGTGTGAATTGAAAATCTTAGCAAAAAATATTACGCAATAGTACACAATAATACATATCAAACTCCACCTATATATATCAAATATTACATAAATTGTTTAATCAAAGGTCATTCATCTCTAGTGGCCAGAATATGTAAAGATGAGCGTGATGGTGGTCAAAAAACCACTCCGGCATTTACAGTGGTCAGTGCATGAATTGCACGTGCATTTTGTCTGGCCCACGTTCCTTTTCGGCCTGCAGTCAACCGCATTCACGTTTGTCGCCTAAATCTGTGTAAAAAGCATTGTGTACATAGCTGTAACACGCAAAACAAGCATAATTTTGAAAAAAGTCTTTGATACGCTATGCAAAAGGTTGAATGAAACTGACAGATGCCGCAGGCATGATCGAAACTAGTGTACGTCATACTGACGCTGCCAGACAATTTGGTGTAGACGCCTTGTGGAGACAATATTAACAGTTTTGGAACCACCAGAGACTGGCCTCGGTTAGGAAGTCCACACGTAATGTCTTATCATCAGGATACGTATATCTTGATCGTTCATTTCCGAGAGCGAATTTGAACTGCTGTTTTGACGGCTAGAAATATTCCTGGCCTTGGAAGAATTGGCCCCCAAACGGTACGTAATCGATTGCATGAACGAGGCGTACGTGTAGATGACATATTCACTTCAAGCGGCAGGACGAGGCACGTGTACTTTTCACGGATGAGTCTAGGTTTCATGTTGACAGCAGCGACGGTCGTTCTACAGTAGACCGTCGTGTTGGTGAACGTTTCCATGACAGTTATGTGATTCAACGACGTCCATTCGGCGGAGGTAGTGTCATGGTGTGGGTTGGCATCTCATTTCGTGGCAGAACAGCTCTTGTGGTTGTGGACAGCACACTTACAGACATCAGATACCATGACGAAATCATCTAGTCTCACGTCATTCCATTTGTGCAGCAACGTAACGCCACGCTGCAACAAATAAACGCTCGTCCGCACGTTGCGCGGGCCTTCACTAACTTCTTGATCCTGAACAATGTTAACGTGCTGTCCTGGCCGGCAATGTCACCGGTTATATCGTCAGCTTCCTT